ATAAACCCATCAAGGACATATCTTCAAACTGACTGAGAGTTTGTAGAATTGACAGCTACAGAGGGGTTAGGAAGTTTCATAAAGCACTCACTGTTGCAGCTTCTGGTTGCTGTGTACTTCCTTTCAACTTGATTTGCTATGAATACTTCTATAGTAAGAGCATTGCTATTTTTGTACACAGACTGTCTACATTTGAATACCAGTTTTGCTATTTCATGAATAAGAACTATTATTTAAACTCTGCTTCTTAATCGTCTAACCTCTATGATGCTGATACCAGTAATATCTACCTCACATGATGTGTGATGATTAGGAAGTGAACTAAAATTTAATCCAGTTTAAAATTTTTTTCTATTTTCAAATATAATTTAATTTTGAATTAATAGTTTTGTGGTTTATTTTTTCATCATGATCCTAAACAAGATTAAGATTAAGGAATCCTTTGCTTTGCTAGTGCTTCCCAGGCCACAGAAGTCCAGCTATTCAAGCCTGTGAGATAAACCAGATACATTCATGCAATACATTCGTTTTTTATGAAGTGAAGTCTCTCAGTATATTTTTCTTTGTTTTCAAATTTGGTGTCAAATTTAGTATATTTTAATGGTTTCAGAAAAGAAACATGTTTAAGCCTTTTTGTGTGCATCTAATTTACTTATTTTAAAAAAATACCCTGAATTAAGAAAACTAAAGACAAGCACCTTGTAATTTGCTAATGCCATTACTGCTATGTACTGGAGTAATTGTTTTCTTAATTCCAATGGTAGAGACTTGTCCATCCCTGTAAAGCATTAGGTCATATAAAGCAGAAAAAAACTGACCAACTTAAAACTGCCTACAAGTTTCCCTGACTTGACAAGAGATGTTTGCCTTAGGAACTGAGCATGATATTCGTGAAGTCTTTGAAAATCAACTATTTAAAATGTTTGTCTTCCTATGGATCTTGTCTCTATAGTAGTTTTAGTTTTGAATAAAAGTGAATTTGAATTAACATATAGTGCAGTAAGACTGTAATTATAGAACTCTGACCAATCTCACACTTAAAAAAAGTGGAAATATGCATGTTGTAGAGTCATGCATATATGTACATAAAAAGTCAGAAAATAAAAATATTTCCTAAAAGCACTTCATCATGAAATTTTATGGCATTTCTGAAGGCCTGGATACATTGTCCTCATTATTTCATGTCTTTTTTTTTTTTTGGCACTGGGGATGGAACTCGGGTCCTTGCGCTTGCAAGGCAGGCCACCGAACCGCTGAGCTAAATCCCCGACTATTTCATGTCTTATTGTTGTAGACACCTTAGAAGTATCAGCATCTGTACATTAAATTTATTTTTTTACATTTTATTTTTTATGATTATTAGTACATGTTTGCAGCACATAGTGATTACATTCATCTTGGGGAATTGGAACATGTACGTAACACGTCTTAATTCTTTTTTTCATCTCCTTACCCTCTCTTACTCACCCATCCCTCCCTCCTTCCCTCCTCCCATAAGGTTGGTCCCCTTAACGTGTTGCAAAAGAGCTATCTCCCTGTTTCCTATTATCTATTATTTTGCTCTTTTGATTTATTTATATTTTGGGTTTCTCCTATAAGAGAAATTTAAGTGATATTTAAGCTTATGTAACTGATTTATTTGATATTGTATTCTCAAGTTACATCTATTTTCCTGCAAAACCTTAAATTTATAAATTTCTGTAACATAACTGCAATTCACTTTTTCATTGTGTAATATTACATCTTTTGCCTGTGCATCCCCTCTTGGGAGCTCTGAACAAAACAGAAATATATCATCCATGTCTTATTGATCTTTGTGTGATATCTAGTATACATGCTTTTTAATCAACTAGCTAGAATATAAGATCAAAGAGAAAAGTCTATGTATCACAGAGTATTTCCCATATTGAGGAAGATATTCAGAAGGTAACACTTAAATGGAACATAAAGCACACCTGAAATAAATGATGAGTTAATGGAAACATGAGTTTGGACTAGAGGGTTGTGGAAAGGGAGAGCAAAAATAATTGCATTTAAGAAAGAAGAAACCAAGAAAGTTTCAAGATTCATTCACAATAATGTAGTGATTTGATTATATATGAAAATATAATAAAATATTCAAAATCAATTAGTATGTGAGCACATGCAAGCAAAATAATACTTTAACCAGTCACTTGGTTTGTTGAAAATTTTAAGCAAAGATATTTGTATAACATGCTGGCTTTGTAGTGGAGAAGGAGATTATTTACTTATTTTGATACCAAAATGAGTTTAACACATTTAACCCATGTTCAGAGAAAAATTATAGCATAAATAAAGGAAATAAAATTTTAATACTGCAACTATTAGAGTTTATGTTTATGAAGAAGATTTTATTCAATGCGTGCCCTTTGGCCTTAAAATCATCAGAGCACTACTTTGTATTTTATTGTTCAAGGGACACGATAATTCTTAGAAAATACATAATTATATTATGTAAATAAATATAGTATATATGGTGGCTAAAATAACCTGCTGTCCTAAACCTACTTCTTGTGGCCTATATTTAAAAGCATCATCTTGATGAATTTTTCCTATACATGAAAAGATTAAGTTCCTTAAAATATATGCAATGCTAGTGAGTACATTCAACGGGAGTAACAATAGTATAACCATTAAGCAGAAGGAAGAAAAACCTAAATCCTGTAAATGGACCATGGAAAAGAGGTGCAGGAGCTTGAAGAAAAAGTACATACAACTTCTTATTCAAAATAGTGAAAAGAGCATTCATACCCTTCTCTGTAAAATCACATCGCAAAAATAAGCCTATGAAGAAATAGACAAGCTGATTAATATATGACCAAACTAAACGAGAGTGATCTCCAGGTCTCAGAACACTGAAAAGTGGTAAGGCATCTCAGAACAAAAAAAGGTAAAACCCTAGTGCTTGTCAAGGAAATGGCAGCAGACATACTGAATTCTGCAGAGTTCTGAAAGGCTTCTTGAATTGAAATGATTGGTTGCAGCCCAATTGCCCATCAACGCGAGACTGGATAAAAATCAGAGTACTAAACCATAAAGAATGAGAAATTAGAGACATTTATAGCTAAATGGATGCACATTGAGACAATACTCTAAAGTGAAATATACAGGACATGTGAAAATACTATATAGGTTCTCTAGTGTGAGAAACTGAAAGTGTAAATAAGGACTAAAAGGTATAATAGATAATGTGAAATAGGAAGAAAAGGTAGAAAGGTGATGGGGTGTGGGAAAAGAAGATAATGGAATTAATATGATAGAAAGAAAAAATGGAAAGAAAGTCTTTGTAGATAGGGAGGGGTGGAAGGGTTGAAGGGAGGGCAGGGGAATGGGGGAAAAATAAGAACCAAGATGGATTATGTAAAGGTGCAAATTCCCAATGATGAATGTCATTACATTGTGTACCTTAAGTATACCAATAAAATTAATTTAAAAAAAGAGAAATGGTTGATACAATTACTGCAGAACAAGGTGGAAATAGGTACCTCAAAATTTTCCATAATAAAAATTTAGAATCTTAACTGTCTCCTTCTGCCTGCATGCAAACCCTGTGGGAAACATGAAATATACCCCCTGGATAAATTGCATCATTCAGGACGAGGATTGGAGAGGCCAGATAAAGGATGTCTGTTTGAAGGGAGATGGGATTGGTAAAAGAAAGGTAAAGAAAGCTGAACTCATTCTGAGAAAAAATTATTGCACAGTTTATAGTCCTTGCCTGATGAAAAGACAGATTAGCTGATTAGTGTACCATTACCTAATTAACCTATTATTTAATTTTCAGTGTTGATATTATTTGTAACAATAAATGCTGCATCATGTATCAATGTATAACTTTAAAATCTTATGGCTGAACAAAATAGAGGTGTTTGTCTCAGTCAAATGAGGTCCAGTAGGGTGGGCCCGTTTCTCCTGTCCTGTAGTTATGCCTTGTGCAGCATGTGATCTCTGAAGGCACCATGGAGTTGAGATGAAAGAGGGAACACAGGGGTTTTTAATTGTTTCAGTCCAGAGTCCATTGTTCCACATCATTCAAATGGGAGACATCAGAGAACACGTGGAATATCAGGTAGCCACTAATTTCCCTGCAAATTTGTGTCCTTGTTTCTGAAGAACATTTCATCTTATTCCTGTGGATTGGCCATAAGCTTTTGTTTGCTTGTTTTACTGAACAATTAAAGTTCACTTTAAATTCCAAAACTAAAACCTGTTGCCTGGTTGTATGATTTAGCACTGACAGAACTAAGAATACAGAGATGCATATGATACCTACTGTATTGTCTCTGGTCTTAAGGTTATTCTGCCACTTAATCTCTTCTTTCACATTGGCTTTGAAATAATTTCCAGATCATTCCCTCTTAATGCTAATATCAGTAGGTGTAACAGGGCCAGCTAATCAAAGATTGTGTAATAAGTTATTGATTTATAATCAACAGGATCTATGTTTCTTTTGCAAATGTTTAATTTCAGATGTCTCTCCTATCTTGAAAACTGCTCCCTGTTTCCTTTTTAAGTAAAATAATTGCTTAGGATGCTTTTCTTCATTACAGTAACATTGGAGAATCTCTAATATGCTTTATAGATAAGTAACTGCAAATTCATCTATTTCTTAATATTACCTTCTGGTTTATTTCTGATGTTCACTGAAGCAGGTTTGTAAATTAATATGAATATGAAATGCTTTATAAAAAGTTTCATGGCATTATCAGTTGAAAGCAATTATCCAGGAAGAGTTTTTATATCTGAGTCAGTCTTGCAAATGAATCTCATATACTTTTTGAAAGTAAACAGTTTTTCTCATTTAAAAAGCTATAATTTATTCTTGGAAATATAATACTAGTATATCTGTTCTTATTTCAGTCCCTAAATCCGTAACTTGATTTGCTTATACCAGTGGTACAGCTCATTTTTAGATTTAGATTCTGAGAGTATTAATCAATTCTCTATAATGTTTGGCTTCCTTATGTTTTGTTTTCCAGAGTACCCGAGTGGCCTTGGACCATCTGGAGTCTGTACCTGAGAAACTGAGCCTACTGGAAGACATCAAAGACTTTCGAGTGAGGAAGAGTTGGCTTGTCTCTCAGTATTTTTACCTCAATGAGAACACTTGACATCTTCCTTATGTGCAGAGGAAATTGTTGGAAGGGAGGAAGGACTGAAAAACATTGGGGACTTCAAATACTCATGCTCTCAGAGTTTGTTAACATTTGTGAAGTCAGAACTGAAAATAAACTTGAGTAGTAGCAAAATATAGGAAAATAGACATTCTCACCCCACCACTACAAGTTCGTTTGTCCCCCTAAAGCTATAACAATAGTTTAGAAAAATCTGGTAATTAAAGGGAGTTATCCATTACATTGACAATAGATAATGTTTTGATTAGCAAAATTTAACTTGTGGATCATCTTTTTTACAAACTGCTATTTTAGAGCTGTAATAGTATACAGGTTATCCCTATGCTATGATACATCAATTCAGACCCACACAGAGTTTTAGACACCATTATCTCATGCCATTTATCGATAGAACTCTAAACACAAAGCATTTCATTATCAAGCCAATTAATTGCATGTGTAGATTTACCTACTGCACATGTATTAAGTTCATCAAGAAGAAAGCTCAGTAGTTCCACTGCCTGCCTTGTAAGTGCAAGGACCCGAGTTTGATCTCTGGTACCAAAAAAATAAAAGAAGAGAGATGCAAACAAACCCTGCCATCCAGTCCTACCAGAAGAGTCCCTTCCCAGAGAACATCTTTATACATCCCCTTAGGAATGCAAATGTACATTTTTAGCAATTTATATGTTAATTGGCAAGGTCAGTATAGTTAATATGACATGTATAAATAAATCACCAAAGGTAACAATGTGAGGGTTTCAATTTGTAAACCATGTAACTTCTTGTTACACATTGACCTTAAAAATTAGCTGAATGAGGTTCTGTTTAAATCTGACGTATTGTTTGAGACTTCTATGGATGGGAAACATAGCCAGATTATGCTATATGGATTTATTGGAAGCACTGATTTCATGTGTCTCTCAAAGCCTACACTTTTAAAATTACCTTACACTAAGCATTTTTTTTAATTTGGAAATTAAACAATTTTTGAGAGAGACCTAGATTAAACTGACACTTTCTGAAAGCTAGACTAGTACCAAGAGGGGGAAACCATGTTTCTAGTATATTTTTAAAGTTCAGATTCTTTCTCATGATTTGATTATATTTTTGCAGTTTAAATCCCAATCAGAGAATTATGAAACCAGCATCCAAGACCAGCTAGTTTTGATTTCACCCTTATAAAGCCCAATGTACATAGCAGGGCCTATGTTATACCTGTATCCTGTCTCCCTTTTGCTCTTTAGTAACAGAAGTCATGTAAGTTAATGAAGGACAGGTAAGCAGCAGTATTGGAAACAGGTGGCACTTGTCACTGAAAAGCAGATGCCTGTCTTATATCAGCATACAAGATAGAGTTTAACCTCCAGTGACAGCATACTTTTCCCAGTGGTCTTCACTGAACTCAGTGTTCATAAGTACAGTTGTATTTCTTACTGTTGCTAGAAGGTTTATCCTTATCCTAGTTAATTGTCAAGTATTTAATTATCTACAATTCTAGTTATGTACATAAATATTGTATAAATATGTAATTATCTGCATGTCCAGCTTATAATACAGAAACTGACATAGAAATGTCTTTATAATGAAATTTTAAGTGTTTGCAGAATTCAGAACTATACTTTCTAATAATTTAAAATGAGCCCTTAGCTAAAAAAGGAAGAGATTAATTAGCAAATAAATACGTACTATGCAGCAAACAGTAGCTAAATATATTAAATTTTTTTGTAAATTCAGAAGTACCCCATTTAGATTATTTTCCCTATTTTACAGATAGGAAAACTGAATCTTAAAGTATAGAAATTAGCTGTAAATATATCTACTTCTTTCTGCTTTCCCCTGGCACCTCTTGAAATCCATTCACTGAAATGACTTTCATGAAAACAAATAGACATAGTCTTAGATGAGACTCCATGAGTCCTTCAGATTAGTAAAGATGGGTTTATTTCAAATCTCTAAAACTTTCTAAAAATTAGCAGCTGTGAACAAGTGGGCAAAGCCCTAAGTTCTTGTCCACATTCAACACACACACAAATTCACTGTGTTAGGAGATATTTTCTCATCCATAAAGTGAGGTACTTGTTTGGTTTCTTCCCACACTGATACTGCTAGTATATGCGTGAAAATATACTTGCCAAGCATATTTCTTGATAGTACTGTAGTCTGTGAATCAAAGTATGAGTACCAAGCTCATCCTGTTTTGATAGGCTTACCGTTGTCTAAATGTCTCACCCTCACCTCCTCCTCCTGCCTTGCCCTTCTTTTCTTCTCCCCAACTCCCCTTCTTTCACTGTCCCCCTCCACTCTGCAAGCATGGGAATCCCATATCTAAATATCACATATTTGATAAGACGGAAAAGAAATAACATTGAGTTCCAAACCCTAATTGGCTACACATTACCTAGCACTAGGCAAATTATTCATCGCTTCTATGAGCTTCATTTTTTTTTGTTGTTTTTTTTTTATAAAAATGAGAACTTTGCAATTCTAATTCCCATCCGGCTTGAACATTCAGTAGATTTAGGGTTCCTTGCAACTGTTTGAGGTACTAAATGTCATAGATGATTTTTCTTACCAAAACCAGTTGCCCCTTTTTATTTTTTTCTAAATTTTCCTAAATCATGAAAGTAATGTCTAAATAATGGGCTATACTGACTCTGTCCTTTTTCTTCCTCCTCCAAAGACTGAAAGGGGAAAAAAGAAAAGCCTTCAGAATTTTTGCTTTCTTACTTTATTTCCTGAATTTTATGTGCTTATGAAGGCAAATGAGACTCCTCTCAGTTTTAAAATAAGTATGACATTAAGTTTAAAAGATAGAATGTTAAGACTAAGTGATATAGAAGGGCTTCAGTTTCAATAGTAATACATTTTTCTTTTAACAAAGAAAATGCTGAGTACTCTTCCAAAAGACAATATAAAACCAAAAGTGGCACAATGTCATTAATGACTGTCTTCAGATGACTAATGGTCACTCAAACGTTTTTCCTTTCAAATAATGGTTACCAGCCATTTCAAATGGCATCAGGACTAGTTGTAAAGAGAACTTAACCAATATGGGATTCATGTTATCACCCACAATGACCATTTTATCTTTTTTCCTTTGTGCCTTGTTTTCCTGTGTATGTCTTTCTACATCACTGCAATCATTTGTTACCTATATGTCTATATTTTCTTACACTAACTTTGAGCTCTGATTTTTCTTTCATCCACCAGTTCAGTCTCTGTTTTTTTTTTCTTTTTCCAGGATTCCCACTATTCCTCTGAAAGAATTAATGGTAGATCTTCTAAATACAGGGTTCACAGAGATTCTCTTAAGCAATGCCAAGATGACACTAAGTACAGAATCAAAAGCTTGAAGGTAATGTTCTTTGTGTACATTTTTAGTCTTGGAGTGTTATCCATGTCTAAGCCTACAACTTCTTAGGTAGCTCTCACAGTGTTTGTGTAAGGACACTTGTGGAAGAGAAGATTTTCCTTGAAGATTGTGCTTATCATTTTTGGTGTGGAAACTAAGCCCATGCCATTGTTAATGTGTTGTCTTTGAGAATTGATGCTGTTCAAGATATCTTGAGCTAGTAAACTTCTAGTTGCTTCGATGGTCAAAGTCTTTGTGTGTATTGTTGCTCTCCTCTATGTTTAAATCCAGCTGCTCTTAGCACTGAAGTCCCCCCAAGCAATGCACAGTACTTTGTAAACTATAGTCTTAGCATTCTCAGTCATTCTTCTCCTGAGTGTACGATCTGTGTGCTATACTTTAGCTAATGACTTGTATACATGGAATCAGAGTACAGAAGACTGGGAAATTTTGACCACAATGACAAACATATACCATTCCCTTGGCCTGCCCAGTATCCATCTGTGGTTGATGATAAACCCATTTGACCTTAAACAGTTCTTAGCTTTGAGCAGATTTTCAACCTCAATATCAAACATCTCCAGCCCGAAATTTGGTGTAGAGATCATGGCATGTTTAGCGACATCCCTACAGTACACTCACTAGATGCCAGTGACATCTAAAAATGTCTCCAGATATTTCCAGGTATCTCTTGAAGGACAAAATTGCCCCCTTTTGAAAACATTGACCTAGGGAGACTATCTATATTCAAATGTGCACTCCAGGGCAGTCTCTCTCCCGCAAAATTAAAATAAAATAAAATAAAGTCTTAGTCTTTCTTTGTATTCTTAACAAACCTTAATATTTATGAATATTCATTATGCTGTATGTATCCACTAATTACAACCAAATAAAATTATTTGTGCGACGCTTCCTCCCTCCTCAGAATGTAATTGGAATTAATGCTCAATGGATATGAAGGTATAAGTCGTCCTTAGCATGCTTATAATCAGCACTTACATCTTCCATACCAAACAAAAATTAACACAGTTATGTGACACTATTGATAGCTTTTTTGTGAAAAGGACTTCTTATGAATTTATATTTTTCTACCTTTGTTTTTATAGATAAATGTCATTGACTATAGAGGTAAACTTGTAGGCTGATTTGGAAATTTTCAAGTTCCCTAAATCATCTTCCAGCATTCCTATCAGGTCCAATATACTCAAGCAAAGATTTATACTTTACCAGAAAAATAAAGTTTAAACAAGAGCTAAGGACAATCACTAATTATTGAGCAAGTATTAGAACAAACTACATGAAATCACCCTCTTGTAAGTGTTAAATGCCTTATGTTTTCTGTCATACTTGATCCTCATAGCAACCCTGGTATGTTAGAATTATTATTTTTCTTCTTTCACTAGTGAAGAAAGTAAGGTTATAGACTTAGCTATGTATTTGACTGGTATGCTATCACAGCATAAGTTTAACTTCTATCCCTTTAGCTTTCTAGAACTCAGAAACATAAGATTATGTTTCAATATGTAAAAGTCAGTTTTCTCCAAAAGTACAGAAACATGACACATATCTATTAGTTCAACAGAGGTTTAGATGCAAGAGAAACACTGAAAACGTTATTTCTAATACGACTATATTTGGAATTAGGTGAGTTGGTGCTGTCTAGTGGCACCCAAATTGCTGTAAATCACTGCAATTTCCATAACAAAATGGCAAAGCTATGCATGTTTAACATTTTCAGCAAGTAAACTCATTGAAGTTCTGTTTAAAATTACATTTGCAGCTGAAGACAAAATCAGGCCTGGCTTATAAGGCTAACACTTGGGAAAGTGAGAAGCTAGTTTAAAAGCTTAGCAAATATATAGTACATGTGTAGGAAGGATCACAGCATTTGTTTTTTGATGGCATTGTTCCACATTAGTATTACTAAAGCATTTCAAAACTTCTTCCAACATGAAACTCATGGGAAGATCACATAATTCATAGTCATTGGAAAGGAAATGTAGAGCCACATGTTTTACTAGTTGTACATACCAACAGTTATTTGCTGATACTGTTTTTATGAAAATAAGTTACTCAAAGGGACTGAGAGGAAAGGAGCGTCTAAAGAACCATGTGGTTAGGTAGGTTTTAAGAAAGTTAGTTTAATCCTTTCTTGGCCCTATGAGTGATCAGAAATACCTCTGATTAATCATTGATATACTGAAAAAGTACTATAAATAAGAGAACTTGGATCATTTCATCAGCTTATAAAAATCTCCCATATTTTCTAGGACAGAGTTTTTAAAAAGATACCTTACTAGGATTTCAGTTCAGTGTTTCTGCCTAAAACTGTTTTCCCCGGAAATAGTTACTGTAGAATTCCTTTTAATTAAGTAAACACATTACTGCTACCATAATGTAAAAACAGTATCCTTTCTGTTGGGTATGGGGGTGAGGAACAGGTGTGTAGAGATAGAGAAGGTATGATCTTCATGGAGGGATAATTACTTTATTATCTTAATTCTAAAAGATAATTATGGCAGTTTTTCTACCACAGAGGTAAGTAAACTGCCCATAGCCTGAGCTTTGCGTGCCGACTTCATATGTAAATAAAATTTCGTTAGGCTGTAGCCATACTCATTCACACACTGTCTGTGGCTTCCTTTGGATACTAGTGGATACTACTTTACTGTAGGATTGAGTAGTACAAAGGAAACTGTATGATTCACGAAGTCTGGAATTTTACTATCAAGCCCTCTCAAGAAAAATTTGAAAGCCCTTGGTCTAGAGAAAAGAAAATATGATCAGTCTCTTTTTTTTTCCTTTACACATTATTGAAATACTTCCTTTACTTTACTTACCAATTAAATACTAGTAGAGAAATTCTTCTAATAGAGAAAGCACTGTGCTAGGGAATCAGGCAAAGGGCATAATAAGAAAAATGTTTCTAAATCCTTGACAATTTAAGGCCTTTAAGCAAACATTGGTAGTGAAAAGAAGAACAGGGTAGTTGGACTGAAGGTGGCCCAGTAAACTTCATTAGTAGTTAGAGGAAAGAAAAATGCTTAGGAGTCTCTTTGAAAAGAGGCTTGTATGGCAAGGTACAGGGAAATGTTTTATCCACATCTTAGTTTGGAAGAGGTTCTTTATTAGCATTTCAGTTGTGGAACTCTGACTGTATTGCTGTTGACAGACAAGTAACTGTTGAACTATCAGAACCATGTTGGCAACCTCCTTATCATGTTGTTGCTGTTGTAAGAAAGCAGTGAAACATCCAGCGTGCCCACATCAGCAGTGGATAGAAAGTTTAGCAGGAAAGGAAAAAGTCAAGTTCTCATTCAGTCCAAGGCTACAGCTGAGCTGCTGTTTATTCCCAGGTCAGTCACCAGGACAACAGTGACCAGATTTCTAGAAACCTGTGAGATTTAGAGTAGCGAGAGCATGCACAATTATAAGAGCATAATATAATATAAAAATACAATAATACAATAATACACTAAGCTGAACAAGCTAATTGAACAAAGCCTGATCTAACAGTTTATAGTTAGAATTCAATTCCAAGCTGAACCTAACACATTTTCACTGATTCTCTGTAGACCAAAAAAACATTTCATGGCCTCTTTTCCACCGGCCTAATTGAGTTTCTGAAGGACATACAGTCTTCCTTGCTGTCCCAGCTGTTTCAAATAGAACAGAATGTCCAAAAGTCAGCCAGTTACACAGCATTGCTAATCTGAATTCACAGAGGAGCACCGTTCTGCCCAAAAAACTCTTCATTTGTTACCTTTACACATACTAAATATATGGTTTTAATTAACACCGGAATTTTTTAGTGAAATCACAGAAGACTTATTTTTTCCCATTATTCCTCCCCCTGAAAGGAAAATCATCATTTTTAACTTCGAGCTGATATGTAGCTGCTTTTTAAAGAAGCAGATGTTGTGTAGCATATGAGGCAGGCGAGGAAGTGTTGATAATGGCTTTCAGCTGCCCAAGCCCTTTGTCATATTTGTTCAATGTAAGCATGTTTGGGATATAAGTACGTACTTTGCTCCTGGAATTCATTTCTCCCTCATTGAATCTCTCTGTGATTTGTTTCTGCCTTGCTCACAGAAATTATTAGCTGTTAGCACTTTCTCTGGAGAGTCAGCTTTTTCTGATTTAAGTCTTCTCTAACCGTAATTTCTAAATCACACCATGCATAACTCCTGGTACAACTCAAGATTGTAGGTGTTGCATAAATGTGTTTATTTTAATGACTACTAAAGTATATCAGTAGTATATTATTCATGTGATTTTACAGATACTGCCTAGGCATAAGAGTAGCAACCAGGGGAGAATTTGAGAATACTTTAACTCTATAATACTCTAGTTGTCTCTGTCGCCACTCTTCTCCATGCTTTGATAGGAAATTATATGTAAACTGCTATGCAGATATATCTCTGTGCTTCTCTCAATCTAAGCTAGTTTCTGAGGCTTCTCTTATACAGAGAATGCAAGGTGAAATTTTAAGAACACATAGAAGAAAATAGTAATAAAACTATACAAGTAAATGCACATTGAAGCTTGGAAAATGATATCTTACTGGATGGCGTACCATTTGAGAGCACACTGTCTGTCTTCCATGTGACTCCACAGATACATAGTGAGCATATACTATGTGTTAAATTGGTGCTTATATTTTAAAAAATATTTTTCTAGCTTCTATCTTTCTAGAATTATAATATGTTTTCAGTAATACTTAGGTAATATATCTAAAATTTTATAGATAGTCAAATTATGCTGAAATACAAATACACTTTTACTGTTTTGAAGTGGTCAAGACAAACATGCTGCCAGAATGTTTAACTAGTTGATTTCATTTTATATTTTAAAAGTTAGACAAGGCTGGGTATATTGGAAACACACCTATAATCCTGGCACTTGGGAGACTTGAGGCAGGAGGATCACCATGAGTTCGATACCAGTCTAAGCTACATAGTGAGTTCATGGCCTGCATGAACTACATAGTAAGACCTTGTCTA